TTACCAGGTAAGGGCATTGATGGCACTATGTATTACATTATGAGAGTATTCAACGGGTTTGACCAATTTACTGTAGATTTTTAGAGTGCGATCAACTAAAAGCGTGGCAGAACGGAACAGGCTAATCCAGAAGGCCCAGAAGCCGTCTTCAACGCTCATCCCAGAGGCATGGTGTACGTACGCAAAGATGCTCATTTGCACGCATGGCGGCAAGTACAGATACCGTGGTAAAGGGAAGAGGCCACGTCAGGAAGTACGCCCGATCGAGTGCAAGGCCCAGGTGCGAGACGTTGACTGTCGGTCACTGCCGGTCACAGTCGGCTGTAGTCTGGCACTGTCGGTCACAGTCGGTTAATGATCGGTACTTTATGTAACAATACTATTCAACAGCTAACGTTGCTCATGTGTGTATACAGATAAACGCTTGCGTTCAAGTGGTGAACACATCCCCTCTTCATTTTGCAGCTTGCGTCACTAAGACTGCATTATCTCACAACCACGAATTGGGGTTGCGGACGTACCGCCATTATCCCGCTAATCGACTGGCTATAGAAGAAGATGTTTTGGCGACGGTCGACTCCCTCAGAAAATCAGGCACAAAGACGCAAAACATTCTGAAATTTATCGTGGAGAACACCAGCAGCGATCCAACTCCTCAAGATGTACGAAACCTAATCCGGAAGCTAAAGAAACAAGACCAGGGCGTGTCATCTCGCTCTCAACGCATCAAGAAATGGATGGTGGACTTTTGTGCTGCTCAAGGGAACGTAGGGCATATTTTTGTGGACCCATCAGGCGGAAAGGTTCGTTTTGCGTCTCAAGTATTGTGAATCGGTCAGTTTGATTCTAAATGTGTGTGTTTGGTTTTGTAGAAAATCGCTACGTGTATTACACTACAAACGAAGCACATGATTGACATTTTTAGCAGATTCCCTGAAGTTTTAATGATCGACGCAACGCATGGTACCAACGCCTCAAAGTACAAGATTTTTTCGTTCATGGCTCATGATATTTTTGGGAAAGGTCAGTACGTACAGCACGCTATCCTACAAAATGAACGAAGTGAAACGCTGTTTTCGGCGTGTGAAGAATTTAAGAAGCAGAATCCTTCCTGGACTAAGCTGCAGTGTGTGATCGTGGACAAAGACTTTACCGAAATTGGAGTTTTGCAGACTGCTTTTCCAGACGCTCGTATACTTCTCTGTCAGTTTCACGTCGTGAAATATTTGCGGGAGGAGATTGCATGCGCCGACTATGGCTTTTCGGCGTGGCAAAAAAAAGCAGCTTCGGGCAGTTGTCAATCTGTTGGTGTACGCAAAAACGGAACGGGAGTATGAAAAGCACCGACGCTACATGACACGTTTGACCTGTATTGGTACCAGCCTTGGCACCGCCACTGGATATTTCGCCTGTATTTCGGGCCGAACCAGATGCAGAATTGGCGTCAAAACTAGAAGCAATTCCGATTTTCTCTGAAAGGGTAAGCACTTTGCATATTTTAAGGGTAGCAGCAACTGACACTTTGTATACGTATTTTGTAGATTCGGATCGTTGACTTTGCATGCAGATCACTACTTAGTGACACTGCGTTGGCAGAGGCAATGGCAAAGCTATTTGGTCAACAAGAGGAAGTCATGACTGTTGACCCAGCGATATGGGGTATCGTGGAGAGAGGAAATGTGAGCATTCCAGACGAAGAGTTAAAGCACTTGTTCAGTTGTATTACTGGGCGAATTATACTGCTTCCAGTGAACTGTAACGGCACACACTGGTGCGGTATCATGATCAACACAGCTGAGACAACTATCAAGTACTATGATTCCATGAGCAGCAGCTACACTGGTACCCTTAGAGTACTAGCGCACAAACTTGTGCAACACATGCCGGCTACACCAGGACGTTACAGAGTGGTTCCCTATGTTGCGGATGCTGGAGTCCAACTAGACAGCTACTACTGTGGGGTGTACGTTCTGCTTGCATTCGAAACGTTCTGTAGCGGAGAAAGCACAGGTGAATTGAGTAAGAAGGCACTGCAGTACCAGCGTTATCGCTACTTGCAGATGTGCATGTGAAGCAAAACACTTTGTTTAATTTGAATTATATAGTTGCTGTTAAAACACATTGTGTCGGAAACATCACAGAAAGGTTGGATTCGTCCTTGAGGTTAACATCGGCCTTGAGGATGACTTCGCTCTAAAAACACTAAGTGCTCGTATCCGGATTATACAGCATATACAAGAGGGGTGAATTTCTTCGTCGGGCACAATCGGTCACGTCGGTGGTCAGTCGGTCACGAATGGCTCGTCTTCGTACCTTCAGTCGGTCACAATAACGCCTGCCTTTTTAATCTCTTCAATCGCGCATGTACAGTACAGTGTACGTTAATGTTAGTTACAGTACATTGTAACCGGTTTAACGAACTCGGAAAACTTTTAACAGATGCCTTAGAGTCTAAGGTACAGTGAATCTTTGTCTAAATTGATCTTGTGGTGTATAGCCGAGTCTCAAATAAAGTGGTGGACCACTGTTGATACCCTTTTTCCTCCGAGGGCATCTCGATACGTATTAATACCATAACAACTTAATATAATACAGTGTAAAAGTGGCCCTTAAGCAATGGTCTAACTCTTTTGGTATCCCAGTTCTACAACATGTACAGTATTATACATGTACTGCTTTTAAATGCGGTACGATAGCGGTAGCCAAGATAACGAAAAACAAGAAGCAGATTGTCTCTTCTCTTACAATTCACTCCTTAATAGACGAGGATTTTTTATAACAGCATGAAGCTGCAGAAGAGGCAGGTTTGGCGGTTCGACCACTCATACGAAGATGGCTCGACGTTCTGAATTCACTGGTGCTCAAGGAAATCTGTGTAAATATCACTACAGTACAGTATAAATTCGGTGCCGGTAGTACCGTATTGATAGCCTCTGTAGGAATCATTTTTTTAATTTTTAATTATTACTAATACAGTGTAGGTGGATCACAAATAGTTTGATACCAGACTGACTCACCGACAGGGTCGAGTTCTCCAAACTCCTGTTCGGTTTCAGTGCTGTGCTGCACAGTGTACTGTATTGGCTGCACAATTTGTGCAGCTTGGATTCTACGCAAATTTTCGCGAGCAAAAGGTGCGTGCGGGATGTCGCTGCCGGTGGCAGCAACTCCATGAGCGAGTTGCTTGGTCTCCGAGTCGGAGTCCATCGTTTTCTGAGGACGTTTGGCTGTGGTAGGCTACTATAGCGCACGCTACCCGTGGACATACTTTCATTTTTGGATGAGCATCGACAGTATCATCACGGTTGGAGATGAAGAAAAATGTAAGAATACAGAGTATTTTGTACAATGCGGCAGGTGTAGAGCAAGAACAGTGACTTGCAGAACAATGTATGCGATATCGAAGGTTAGTATGCCTCTTGTCGGGTTTAGCGATTTTTGAAAGTTTAGAGCATTCCCACAAAAACTCGACAGAACTACTTTTTATTCGAATTTTTGCATATTTTGCTCGCCGACAAAAGCTACAATAGTTGTCGATGGCTATTCCGCGGAGATCCTGCGGTCAAATATTGCCCCAAGATAACCTTCGACAAAACCACAAAAAGGGCCCCGTTGCACCATATTGACCGTCAAAATCAAAAGTGTGCTATCCTTTTGGCAGGCTCGCACAAATACCCTTGTTTAGAAAGTCTCTCAAAATTGTTTCGAGGTATACGGAAAGTAAAGGGTGTGCTATCTAGGATTATGCACATGTATGTATATAGCTCTCGCGATTATAGTACCGGTAACCTTTGGATAGCATCACGACAAAGTCGAATACCCTGTGGAAGCCGCTTACCTGAAAACTGATTTTAAAATATGAATGGAAGGAAAGGTCGACTCTGGCGTGGTGACAGCGTGTCGATCAACTTAATTATCTCTTTCAGACCACGTACTTCGTAAAATTTAAACGTATATTGACGTCACAAAGGTCAATAGAGAAGAATCGAAAGTAATATGTCGCTTGCCTTCGAGTGGCCAATTAGTCTTTCTTCACACCGCAGTCACCGCCACCAGTCGACTGGACAGGGGAATTCTGGGCTGGTGTCGACATTTTAACTTGTTCCGCATCACCTTCGCCCTTGGTTCCCACCGCACACGAAATGCGAGGCGCTTCCTTGCCACATACCGCGTGAAGAACAATGCTCCATGCTTCCGTGTTCTCCAATGGAAGCGGGTAGTTCTCGTCCGTCCACTCTTCCGTCACAGTGTTGCCCTCGCCAACCTTTAACGCACCGAACTTGCCCGATAAATCACCCTTCTCACACGTCTTGGGGTCGGTCGTGTAGCTGCCAGGGCTGCAGGCATAGCTCTTAGATTTGGCCTTGCACTCTGGCTCGGAGACGTACTCCGACGCGGAGCCACAGGCCTTCAGTGGGTCGTAGTGGCTGTCAGTTGCTGCCTTGGAACACTGCTTGAACGAGTCCGAGGACTGCGTCGAGCTCCACTTGGTGTGGATATGCCACTTCCAGCTCGTCACGTCCTCCGTGCAGTTTCCGTCAAACTCGGCAATCTTGTCCTGGTCGATGCCGGAGAAGTCGAGGTTGGCGGTAACCGTCGCAGTGGATAAGTCTTCACCGGCGTACTTAACTTGGATGGAGCCGTCAACGCCACCAGTGTGGTGAAGTGCTTTCTCAGAAATAAGAGAATGGGCCTGACGCGGGGTCACTATCCCGAATCAGTGACGATTTCAAGTGATTAGAGAGGATTTGGGTTGGTGGCACAATTGCAAGTTGCCGGTGGTGGATTAGCCATGACGAGCGGCACCCCGTATGGAATGACGATGGATCTGGTATGAGCGATGTACGGGAAGACAAGATCCACCAAGACTTATCTCGGATCCACCCTTACCTGGATTCACTTAGGTGGATATGAAATATACTATGTACCAGTGGATCGAGTGTGGATCCTATGAAGGAATGGTGGTAGGTGTCATCCGAAGGTGGATCTAGTAGCCACAGCTAACGAGAAGTCAGAATCCACCGCGAGGTACCCCGGATCCCATACTTCCGAGTTCGGATCCATGGAGGGAGGATCCTGCCTTGAGAGACCTGGATCCAGGGTATAGGGATGATGGATGCAGTGGATCTCGAACTTTCGTGGGACAATGGAGATCACAGACGGTTGCAAGATGATGTTGGATGATTGGAGAGCTCGGATCCACGGCGAGTGTACAATTACAGTGAGGTGGATCCAAGCGACCTGGATCCGGATGAGTGTACCCATAATAGGATAACCATGATGATTACGTCATGAATCCCCGGGGGATCTGAAGATAACACAGCTGGGATGATGGGTCAAGGGAAGAAGGGACATGCAGCCGAGCCTGGTAAGGGATTTAGCAGATGAAAGACATAGAAGGTAGAAACCCAGGCAGGTATAGGCTTAAATATCAATACAGAACCCAATTTGCACAGTATCACGCAAGTGCCTTCTGTGGTGTAGTGATCTCTCCGAAGTTGCGGATTATCACCCGTCGACAAAGACGTGACACCGCCCAAGTTGTTCAAGCGACGAACCCTCGGCCAGGTGGTGTACGGAGACGCTAAGGTGCAAGGGACTCGACGGCGTCACCTCCGAGTTTTCAACAAGTATCGGATATGGCCCTATGTCACTGAATCCAGGCTGTCCTTATTATTAATAATGGACTGGCCGGATTCGCATTCAGCGGACCATCTACGGTACGAACCCTCAGTGGCGGCTGGGATGAGTTCGCGGAAGACTCAGCGACCTTTGGAAGACACGTTCACCGTCTGGGACAAGGCGCGGACCGTTAAAGATGCTCATGCGACGGTGCAGACGACGCTTGGCATGCAAGAAGATCCATAACGGATCATTGTTCACTTGATATTTGTATACTTGATTAGGACTTCTTATTAGGAATAGACCCGAAAGGGTAAGCTTAAATACAGAACAGAATTTCCACTCAAGCACACAGAGCGACGTCCGGCTTCAAGGTAAGCGTCAGGTCAAGCTTGTTTGAGTGTGTTATGCCTGTCGGTGAACTCGAAGCTCTGTAGCGAGGGTTCATCCGGCAAGGCCAAGAGACTTTGTGTATTGGCCGATTATTATCGGGAGTTTTTTACGTGACGGCTTATTGTTGCCTATTTGCACGACTGGGAGAGCTTGAATTGCCTCCCTTTTATTCTTCCAACCGAGTGTTGAACACTCGGTGATCTCGTAAAAGGCTTACCCGTGCCTGGTACCCTTCCGCTGTTGGGACCACGAGGATTCAAAACACCTGCTAGCTTTGCTCGTGCTAGTAGCGTGTTCTTATTTTTACTGGTTGGCCTATATAAGTAGTTTACAAGGTCCAGTTTGTCCCGGTGCAAGGGCAGAACTGGGGTCTTCAGGTTCGCCCGAACGATCGTTTACTATCCTAGTAGACGTATTGTTGTGGGAACGTCCTAACTACATTTGTAGCTAGAGTTCACGTGGGATTTCCAACACCACAACTGGTGCCGCGACCCGGGAACAGATTGTGACCATTGTGAACTGTTTGTATGGCCTTCCAGTTTACGAGCTACCAAGAGAAGAAGAACAAGAAAAAGACAAGAAATATGGCGAAAGGACAACCAACGGTACCAGTTACGCCTGCCAAGTCTGGCGGGGCTCGCAACGAGAGTTCAAGCCCGGCTGCGCGCTTTGCAGCCGCCACCGAGCTTTCAGTGAGCTTCGACGACGAAGCGGACATCGGTCCTGACGCCCACGATTATGAAGATTACGAAGACAAGACGCCGGCTCCAGAGCCAGGCGCAGCGACGCCGGAGACGGCCACGCTATCATCGGGGCTGAGCGGGGCGACCAGGTCCCTTTCGAGGAACCTCGCCGACGAGCTCGATGATGTTGCGGGACCAGAACCAGCCTACGATGATTATGACGATGGGACCGAGGGTTCTAAACCTTCGGTGGCAAGTGCAAAGCATTCAGCACTGCTGAAGGCACCTCGCTCACCTATCAACGGTGATACACCAGCCGCCAAGCGCGTTTTCGACCGCGTACAAGCGCTGATGCAGAATGATGAGTGGATGCAGCTGTTCAAGCCCATCCCCGAGAAAAAAGCCGACTGGCCTGCACTTGCGCAGGAACTTCAATACCCAGTCAACTCGGTTTCGACTAGCCAAGTTGCCGAGGATTCAGTTTCGCTACTGTTGTCGCTGGGGTTCGAGAACGAGACGTACCCATCGACGATGTCGCTCCAGGATTGGAGTCCACATGAAGTTGGAGCTGCTCTCCAGAAATGGAAGAAGAAGCTTCGGAAGGCGTTTGGCGCTGTTGGCATCAATGCTGGAAAGCAACCTGTGAGTCGACCGATGATTCAAGATGAAGATCCGTCCAAGATTCCATTGCCGCCGACGCCCCAACGACTCGTTCGTACTCCTCCGACCAAGCGTGGAGCTGAGCGTGGTGCCTTTGGCACTACCGAAGCTTCACCGTACTTTCAAGACTCGCACATGGTTACGCCACGTTTGGAGAGCCGTATGCAGCGTATTTACGCAGGTAACGAGGGTTCGTTCGGTTGCCGAGGCGGTGCGCGAGCTCCCAAAGGTGGTGCCGGACGTCGTCAAGTCGACAGCGATGGTTCGTCCAGTGACGATGACGTTTTGGTGCGTACATTCGACGAGGAAGATCCTCAACTTGGGTTGATGCGTCAGATGAATGAGCTAGCGACGCTGAACGACGTGGACCCAACACCGAGGATTGAAATGGCCTCGCACCGACCGCTGGATCGCATCACGCCGCTCTCAGGCTCTCGCAACAAGAGCGAGAACTGTATGCAGTGGCTCCGTGGGTTCGTCTATGAAATGACTGGAACCCACATAGATGCCGATAAATGGTGCATTCCATTTGAGCTAAGTCTCCGGGACGGAGCCATTCATTGGTTCCGTCAACTTCCGAAGAAGACGAAGCGCAAGTGGAAGCTGCTGAGCGACGCGTTCATCCGCTACTACTGCTCGCAGTTCACGCAGACGGCACTGTCGCGTTACTACTCCGCCAAGCGGGAACGTAATGAACATCTGTGCGACTACATAAACAGACTGAATGGCTATGCTCGGACCGCCCGTCTACACTTCGAGAAGAGTGGTCGCGACGCGAAAGAACACGTACAGCAGTTCCTGGCAACATGCGATGATGACAAGCTGGCGGAGAGTCTCTACCACGCTCGAGTCGCCGACATTCACGAGCTCGAAGAGATCATCGAAGATGTTCTCAAGGGCAAGGAGAGGATGGCCAAGCGTGACAGTGAGTACCGATACTCCAAGAGTCGTGATACGCGACGCGACGATGGATTCGCCCGCAACAACCGGCGTGATGACCGCCGCCGCGATGACAACCGAAACAAACCAAGAGTGACGCTCATTGAAGCCACGGTGGATGACCTACTAGCTGAATTAGAAGGTCGTGAAGCTGCTCAGGGAGGCACCGAGTATTCAAACGAAGATCCGAACGCTTACAACGATGTCCAAGACGAGTACAACGACTTTCAGCCCGATAATACGGATGGTGATTTCTCATTGGATGAAAACGACCGATACCTCGCCGCTGCTAACGAAAATGAACGCCGTGCAGCTGCTGAAGGCACCTACGCACGTTCAGACAACCGTCAACCGCGTGGAAACGTGCCTGATCGCGAGAATGGCTTCAATCAAGATCGCCGAAGTAGTGACCGTGGGTTCAATCAGGACCAACGCGGTCGACGTGACTTCAGCCGCGACAACCGACGCCCACAGTACGGACCATGCGCGGTGTGCGGTGGCATGAGTCACTCCGCCCACTACTGTAACAAGCGATGCAAGTTCTGCAAGCAGCTCCACGATGCTGGACAATGCTAACTTTTCCGCAACTTCCAAGACCTCGCCAAATTCGTGCGCACTAAAGGCACGAAGGAGGAACGCCCGCCAGAGCTCAAGGCCGTCGTTCAAGAACGTCATTTAAACTAGGCAGCCCGCCAACTACAACTGGGTTGGTCCCTATCGGGCTGCCACAGTTAACCGAGCCTTCAATGGAAGCAGAGTGTATCTTTGCTTTCATGGGGCAGAGTGAATGGGCCTGATAATTACGTAACAAGTGTGAACGCGACGAAAAATGAAAAGGAGAGGAGTAGAATCCTCGGTGGAGGTGTTGGAGAGAGAGTGGAGTGTGCTGATGCTGATGAGGGCACCAGCGAGGATTCGCTCGGCTTGGTTTCGAGTGCAGCGCGTGACGAGCCCAAGGGTCACTCCAAGATGATGAAGTTGAACCCTGGCGAGAGACAGGGGTGGTGGTCGCCCAAGAAATTCGACCGACGGATCAGAATGAGAGCTCTGGTGCAAGGCGCTGTGAACGACCAGCGAACGAGGATCCTCCTCGACACAGGAGCGAACGTTAGTGTGATCACTGACACCTTTGCCAAGAAGTTGCGACTCCGAGATGTGCCTGATCACAGACGCCGCATTGACATTCAAGGAATCAACGAAGGCAAGGTGTCTACGACGCGACGAGCGTGCGTCAAGATTACGCTCGGATGGGAGATGGTGTACGAGTTTGAGATGTGGGTAATGGCGCATAGTGCAGGCGTCGACGTGGTACTCGGGACCGACTTTATGATCCCAGCTGGGATCCGGTTGGACCTGTTCCACGGCGC